GCAGCTTCGGCCCTCATCCATCACGGCCCCTCCAAGCTGAGCAGCCAGACCTCTCATCTCCGCGCCTCGGTGTCCGCCCCTTCAAAATGGGCACTTGCCCATCCTCTCAGCTTCGCCAGGCAGTTGCCAGGTTCACAAAAATGCGGACAAAGCACCTAGGACATGGTAGGTGAACAACCCGGGACAGTCAGGCTTCGAATGAAACCAGAAGGCGTGCTCATTTCCTATGGCCGTCGTCACAAAATGCCGCAAGCTCAGCAACTTAGAATGCCACCCGTGTCTCATCTTACAGTTCCGAGGGCCTGGGCCAGTCCGGATTGCGTAGGGCTGGCTAACATCTAGGTGTCGGCAGGTGGTGTTCCTTTCTGAGGCTAAGGGATGACCCGTTTCCGGGGCTCACTTGGGCGGTAGCAGAATCCGGTGCCGTGAGGTTGTAGGAGGGAGGTCTCCGTGTCCTGGCTGTCGCCGGGAGCTGCCCTCTCTCTGGTCCCTGCACGTGACGCGCGCGCGCACACACACACACACACACACACACACACACACACACACGGGTGCCTCAGAGCCAGAGACCGGGCGTCGAGTGCCACTCCGGCTCTCTGATCTCTGACTCTCCGCTGGGAAAGGTTCCCTTTTTTTCAGGATTCAAGTGATTAGATTGGGTCCACCTGGGTAATCCAGGATAATCTCCCCATCTCAGGAGCCGTAACCTTAATCACATCTGCAAAGTCCCTCTTTAAAAAAATATATTTTTTATTGATTTTTCACAGAGAGGAAGGGAGAGGGATAGAGAGTCAGAAACACCGATGAGAGAGAAACATCGATCAGCTGCCTCCTGCACACCCCCTACTGGGGATGTGCCCGCAACCAAGGTACATGCCCTCGACTGGAATCGAACCCGGGACCCTCCAGTCCACAAGCTGATGCTCCATCCTCTGAGCCAAACCGGTCAGGGCTGCAAAGTCCCTTTTGCCATGTCAGGGAACGTACCCACAGATGCCAGCATCAGGACATGGACATCTCTAAGGACCATGATACTGCTTATTCTAAAAGGGGACACAAGTCGCATGCAAGCCCATCTGCATTGGCAGGGGCCTTGGCATTGAGCCAGTGCCAACACCTCCTTTTAAAGAAGAGAAAACTGATGCCCAGAGAGGTTTCTAAGTGGTTGCTCAAGACAGTGGTCGGCAAACCATGGCTCACGAGCCACATGCAGCTCGCAAGCCACGGTTTGCTACTCTGTTGACTAATGAGTTTGCCGACCACCGGCCCAAGGTAAGTCAGCAGCTCCTTGGCAGAGCCCATCTCCAGGTTAGCCCGGCCGGGTAACCCCACTCCCCACGGCTTTCACGTGAAAAGACTCTCAACCTGCCCAGGCCCTTCCCGCCACTGTGTTCTGCTCTGATCCTCCTGCCCTCCTGGGGGTGGGCACACAGTGGCTCCGTCTCTGGAACTGGCATGAGCGTGTGCTCACTGACTCCTCTCCCCGGGGGTGGAGAGGATCAGAGAGAACCGGGCCAAGAGGGCCCCCGGCGGGCCCCGTGCCTGGGGAAAGGAAGCGAGAGGGAGAGGGCACTCCCATCCCCGGGCCCAGCCCTCTGAATGCATTGTCCTCTTTGATCCTCCCGAGCTTTCTGCAGGGAAGGCATGGCCCGCCCCGGGTGTCGGTGAAGATCGGATTTGGCTACAGGTAACAGGAAGAGAAATAACAGGCCGCCACGGCCACTGTCACGCGGCTTAACAATCCACCATAAAACCGATGGCGTGAAGGCAAGCAGCTCTTATTTTAGCTCAGGAGTCTCCGGGGGGGCTGGCTGGGGCTGGGTGGGGAGCATTCACACTTTTGCATTCTGTCTTCTCGGACTCACTGGGCAGCTCTTTGGTTCTGTCGTGCTTTTGTGCCCGTTTGGGGGTGCCTGCTGTCAGCTGGTGGGAGTGGCCCCGTCTGAGACAACTGAACAACAGCTCTGCTCCCGGTCTCAGCCCCCAGCAGGTCAGCCGGGCATACATGCTCTTTCTTGGGCAATCCCAAGGAATCAAGGCAGCGTCAGATACTCCCAAGCCTCTGCTTATGTCATGTCTGCTTACCTCCCTCTGGCCGGCGCAAGTCCATGGCCGAGTCCAGAGTCAGAGAGCGTGGGGACGAACAAGGGACAGGGCACAGGGTGTATTAGATATAGGAAGGCGATGAACACAACCTGTCTATCCTAGTGGCGTGGACCGAATGAAGGTTTGTCTTTTTCTTATCGACAAAGGATGTCACAGACCGGGGTTAGGACAGCCAGGCTTCTCAGCACACAGCGTCTTGTCCTTGCGGGCCAAAGTGGCTACAAGAGCTCCCGCTGTCATTTCCGTGTCCCAGGCAGCACGGACAAAGGAGAGGGCTAAGGGTGGGACGCCTCCCTTTGAAAGAGACCCCCTCCAAGTCCCACATCTCGCTTCTATCCTTCCTTCCTCCCTTCCTTCCTCCAGTTAATATCAACAAGGCACCTACTCTGAGACGCACCCTGTTCCAGGCACTAGGCATAAAGGGTTGAATCAAAGAGACAAGGTCCCCGCCCTCAGATAACGTGAGCTCTATCCCAGAAAGCGTGTGTGCGAGGGTGAGTGACGGGGGGTAGGCAGGTGGAAGGGAAGTCAGGGAGGGCCTCTCGGAGGAGGCAGCGGTTTAGCTGAGCCCGGAATGGAGAGGCGGGGCCGGCCCTGGAAGATGTGGGGGAAGAGGCTGGCAGGCAAGCACGTGAGGCCGAGGCCCTGGGAAAGGAATGGCCTTGATGTGACTGGGAACCGAAAGGCAGCCGGTGTGGCTGGCGCATGGGAGCTGGGCGGCAAGTGGCAGGAGGTGGCAGGCACCAGGCAGGTGGGCCTTGCGTTCCATGGAGCCTCTGTGTTCTGTCCAGCTGCAGTGGGAGCCACTGAGGGCTGCCTGCGGGAGTGGAGATGTCAGAGAGGCCTCGGGATCAGAGCAGCGGGCTGGCGTCCCGGAGTGTCCAACGCCCAGCGACCCCCATGCCCTCTAAGCTCCTGGGGTCTTCTCACTGGTGCAGAGCAAAGGCCGAGTATAGGGTTGCCTTCATTCCTCAGAGCTCAGGGCTATGGAGGCAAAGCTGACAGTCGGGTCATAGGCCTCCAGACTTCCTTCCTATCAAAGGGTCCTAGTCCCAGAACGCCCTGGGAGACCACCCCGTTCACCCCGTCGTGCCCTGCGGGGGACACGGGGGCACACACAGAAGCCGCTCCCCTGGGTCTCAGCTAATAATGAAGGGGCTGATCCTCCCCCGGGGCTCGCCGGAGGCAGCAGGGCCCCTGACCACCTGCTCCAGCCACACGGCCCCGCCCGGCTGGCCTCCCCCACCCCCTCTCGGTCACAAGCCTCTTTTGTGCTTCCTCCCAGGGGCTCCATCTCCTTGCAGGGGTCACAGGACATCGCTGACCCCATCCCCTGCCAGTGTGCCCGGCGGGTAATTGAAAATACCAGAATCCCCCGAAGGCCAGCTCACAGGGAAACCTGACACCCCGGGGTGGGCAGCGGGCGGCAGGGGGGGGGGGAGGAGAGAGCATCCAGCTGTTCCCTGTCCTCCACCGCTAATCCCCCCCGGATTCCGGCAGAAAGCCCGGCCCTGCCCGGCCCCCCTGGGCCTGCCTTGATCATCTTCCCAGCAATGCCGCCTCCTTGCCACACCCAGGGACACGGGGCTTACGGGATCAGAGGCGGGTGAGCTGCCTGTAACCCAAATCTGCCCGCTAAGCCTGCCGGGCCCAGACCCCCACGGCCTCGGGGGACCTGCCTCCACCGACAGCTGAGCTCCCGGAGCCGGGGCGGGCCGGGTGGGTGGCAGGGAGCTGAGTCAACAGGAGCCGAGGAAAACTCGCTTCACGGCAACAGCGTGGGGGCTGGGCCGGGTGCTCTGAGGGTCACTGCTTCTTCCCAGACCTCCCTGGCCAGCCTGCGTCAGCCACGGCCAGCGGAGGGGGACGGATATGCGGGACCGAGGTGGGACAAGTTACTTCCACCACCTGCTCACTGGGACAAGTTACTTCATACCTCAGTGCCTCCACTTTCTCATCCATAAAATGGGTATGCTGGTTAATAACAGCAGCCTCGCGGGGGTGGATAGAACAGTTAAATGAGTTAACCCACAGAAAGCGTTTGGGAAAGGGCCAGGCGTAGCGTGGACCAGGAAATGTGAGGTGTCAGCCGTGGGGACCTTTTCTCTTCTCTGGTCAGCGTTAGACAAGATGACAAGCTTGTGGAGAGCAGATCCCCATCCCCACGGCAGGCCCGCGCGGCTCCCCGGTGCCTCAGGACAGGACAGGCCTCCGGGCCCGGGGGTCCGGCCCCCAGCTGCTCGGCAGCCGGCAGCCTCGGCCTGTGCCTCTTGGAACTACTTGTACCTCTACCTCATGACTACCCGGGCCCAGAAACCTCAGGAGCAGGTTTGGCTGGGCAGCGAGAGGGGCCATCGTGGGCAGAAGCCAGGCTGTGGGAACCAGCGTGGTGGGTAGGTACTAGACCAGCAGGTCTGGGCTCTGGTCCTGGCCCACCTCTGCCTGCGCGGTGACCTCGGACAAAGTACCTCCCTGCCCGGTGGCCAGCAGCACCTGAGCTTCTTAGAACTGCAGGATCTCGGCCCCCGCCCAGACGGATGGCGTCAGAATCCGGGCGGCGGTGCCCAGCAATGGGAGTCTGTACCCACCTCCTGATGCCCCTCGAGCTTGAAAGGTGCAGTCCTTTTATAGGGTCACAGTCTGCCACTTTTCCTCGTTGCTAGGAGGTGAATCACGGGGAAGGAGGCGAAGGGAGGAGCAGGGTCCCTCCGGGGCTGGATCACCTCGGCCGAGGGGGGGCACCTATGACCTTGCGTGAGTCCCTCTGCACCTGCCGGCTCCCCAGGGCGTGGCCTCAGCTACACGCTTCCCCTCTCCAGGCACCTCTGAGGTGGGGCCAGACGCTGCACCCTCTCCTGCCCACCCTGACCTCTGACCTCTGACCTCTCTTCCAGCTCCATCGGCGGTGTCCATCATGCACCAGGTGAGCCGCACCGTGGACAGCATCACCCTGTCATGGTCCCAGCCGGACCAGCCCAACGGCGTCATCCTGGACTACGAGCTGCAGTACTACGAGAAGGTACCTAGGTCCCAGGCACGCCCCACCCCGTCCCTACCCCCCGCCCTGAGGGACCCTCTCAGGCTGGGCTGGGGGCCTGCTGTCCTGCAAGATGAGACCCCACCTTGAAGCAGAAAGAGCACTGGCCTCAGGCTCGAATCTGGCTTCGCTCCTCCCTGGCTGTGAGGCCTCAGGGGGGTGCCTGGACCTCTCTGAGTCTTTCTCTTCTGGTCTGGGGCCCTGGCCGGCGGTCTCAGGGACACGCCGTGGTCACAGGCCTTTCCCCACCAAGATCCCTCCCTCGTGACCAGCTGGCCCGAAGCTCTGAAGAGCTGGGTTTCCAAACAGCTGCATTCACTCAGCGAGCATCGGTCATCCGCCCGTTCCGAAGCCGAGAGGCCGCTCGAGAGCCTTTCCACCCAGCGTGGCGCTCTCTCCTGAGCTGCTCGGGTTCCAGCTAAAACAATGCTTTCCATTTGCCTGCGTGCCCTTCGTCCGGGGGGAGAGCCTTTCTCGTTCAGCTTTTTAATCAGACCCTGTCACTCCCTCTGGGGACCTCTAGGAGCCAGGGGCCCTGGGTCGGGAGCCACTGTGTCGTAGAAGGAGCACTGGATTAAGAGTGCGAAGCCGTAGGTTCAAATCCCAGCTCCCCCAGCAGCAGCGGTGTGAAGATGGCCGCCATCTTTCTCTCTCTCGGCCTGGTTTCCTCCGAGTGAGACTGCCTCTCTCACGGGTGCAGTGCCATCAGGTGCCTGGCCCTCAGCAAAGTGGAGGGTGCTTTCCCCCCTCCAGCTCCTGCCCTGCCTGCCGCATGGTGGGCCAGGCCACACGGTGAAAGGCCGGGGAGCTGAGCGTGTGTGTGTGTGTGTGTGTGTGTGTGTGTGTGTGTGTGTGACCTGCGCAGGGGCCAGGACGAGCTGAGCATCAGAGGCTCAGGGACCGCTCTGTGACTGGTGACTTCTCTTACCTGCTCCCGGACACACAACAGCCACAGAGGCCGCAGGGGCCCCTGGAAAACGCTTCTCGGGGCTCCCTTTCGGTCTGAGGTGTGAATGACAATGGGACGTGCTTACGTCGAGGACGAGCCCGCTGGAAACAGACATGTTGGGCAGGCTTCCCAAGGGCTGAGAGGGAATGAGGGGGAGACCGTTCCCCCCAGTCCTGCGGGGGCCCAGCCTCCTCACCCAAACCTGGGGGTCCCAGGGGCTCCTCAGACCTCTCCAGCCTCACCCAGCGGGTTTACGATTGTTTCCTGGCCCCTCCCTCCTCTTAGCAATGCATTCCCAGAGGCCAGGGACCACATCCATCCCTTTCTCCCATGTGCTCCCCCGCACCGGGGCCTGGCTGGCACCAAGGATGAAGTGATGAAGGAGCGATGGATCCCTTCCCGTGCCTGTCCCTCAAGGGCGGAGCCCTGGCCTCTTCTCTGCTGTGTCCCCAGGGGGTGAGGTGAGGGACGCAGCTCCGCCCCTCGCTGGCCCTGGAGGGCCCATGGAGCCAGGCCTCCCAGGCAGCAGGACCAGCTGCTGCCAGGCTCAGGAAGCCAGGGCCCTACAGGACCAATCATGTCCACTTCCTCTGGTGGGGACAGCTTAGCAACTCAGATTTTCAAAAAGGGAAAAAAAAAAATCTAATTAAGAAGCTCGATGATTAAATGAAGCCCAAAGTGTGTGTCCCCAAAGACTGGATCGGAAATGAGGAATCCCGGCACAGGTCCTGCCCACGACCCATTTCCCACCCAGACCGGAGGGGCCGGGGAGGCGGTGGAGGTGTGAACCAGGAGGCAGCTCTGCCCTACTTTCCGCCGCTGCCTGGGCATCCCCAGGCCCTGGCCGGAGGGGCGGGACCAGCAGGCCTTGCAGCAGCCACGGTCATCGCCTGCTCACGTTTGCTAAGTGTGCTGAGCACACCGTGTGCTGAGCACACCACACCCATTGTCTCATTCATTTCCACGGTGTTGCTCTTCACCCTGTTGGGCAGGAGGGGAAACTGAGGCACGGGGAAATTGTGGAACGTGTCCAAGAGCACCCAGCTGCTGAGCGGCAGAGCAGGGGTTTGGGCCTGTGCTCTCACCCTTCACCTGCCTCTGCTGTCTCCCGCTTTCTCCCAGCGATGCTTCTGGGGTATCCGTTAAGAGGTGGACAAGCCAGGCTCTGATGAAAGGTTTTCAGCATAAATGGCGAGAGATGAACAGCGTGAGGTGTGGTCGTGATAAGCCGTGGCCCTGCCCCTATCAGCCCCTCTTCCCAGAGCCTGGGGTCCGGAGAGAGGCAGCTTGGCCTCTACCAGTAGGGAGATGGGACACTGGTGCATTCAACACTCATTGTCACCCACTTCAGACTGGGTGCTGGGAACACCAAGAGCAACTAGACACGCCTGGAGGCCTTCCCTGTACAGTCCAGAGGAAAAGACCCTTTTAGGTACAAATAGCCATTAGACAAGATGAGATGCAAACCACAGAAGGGCCAGTATAGGTCCCATGGGGGCACTAAGAGGAACCCCATAATCCCGGTATATGTGAGAGGAAGTCTTCATGCAGATGGCATTTGAGCTAAACCTTGAAAGAGGCTAGGACGAGGGATGAGAGCAGGATCATTCCAGGAGGCAGGAACGGCATGTGCAAAGGCCCTGGGGCAGGCATGTGCCGGCTGAGCTCAGAACAGAGCAGGTGAATGTGGCAGGAGCAGCATGAACAAAAGAGAGGTGTGCAGGGGTGGCGTTTGGAGAGGGAGGCAGAGCAGACTGTGGTGGGCCTTCCAGGCTTTTGGAGTCTGGATTCCATTTAAAGTGCAATGGGAAGCCATCAGGAGGTTTTGGAATGATGCGATCTGGCTCGTTGCTTTAAACAATTCCCGTAGCTTGCTCTGTGGAGAATGCAGGTAGACTGTGTACAGGGATCTCGTGGGGCAGCACGTGAGAAATGACGGTGGCATGGCGTTGGCGCGTTGGCAGCAGCGATGGTGAGAAACTGACAGATCCAGACAATGTTTTGAAACTCAGGGGACGAGGGAAGGGTGACTGTCCACTCCCAGCGGACGTGGGTTTGGGATTTGCAGAAGTGGGCGTGGAGCTTGCCGGGCGCGGGGAGGTGTAGCCACAAACGGACAGGAGGAAGACTAGAGGGGAAGGACCGGTGAAGGAACATGGCAAGATGTAAGGACGGAAAGAAAATGCAGTCGGTGAAAGTGTTGGAGACACTTTCCTCCTCTCCACGGGGTGGGACAGCCAGGCTGCAAGTAGTGAGATTTATTTCTAACAAGTCCACAGCCCGCGCCTACCTAATCCGTCAGAATCCTCCTGGTGCCTGCAGTTGATTTCTTGAAGGAATGCTCTAGGTCTTCCCAGGTAGGGAAGTTAGGTACCGAGCCCTGCGGCCCCATGGGGGTCCCACCCCTGTCTCCTTTCCTACTTCTCCTTTCCTCCTGCAGAAAGGGCTCTGGTGGAGCAGGCTCTTCATCTGGCCTCTCTCCAACTCCACTGGGATTTCCCATTCTGCCCGGAGCCCAGGGCCCGGAGCCCGGAGCCTGGAGCCCGGAGCTGACAGCCACTTTGCCATGTCTTCTAGAGGCTGCTGATAAATCGTGTCAGTCAGACCAGAGTGGCCTTGTCCATCGGTTCCAGCATCCCAGGGGAGGTGGCCTCCAGTGGCAGCTACCCCAGAGCTCACAGGTCCATGCTCCCTTTGGCTCCCCAAGAGTTTAAGCAGAAGAGTCATTTGTGAGGCCAGCTATGGCGGATGGGCCTTTGTAGGCCACATGGACTTTTGTATCTATTCAGCAGAAATTTTGCTTGGCGGAAGTGGAGGGAAAGGACATTCCAGGCAGAGGGAACAAAGGTTAAGGGCAGAGGGGGGAAGAGGGGGGGGGGGGTGAATGAAAGTCCAGACTGTATTCCAGGTGTTGCCTAGTGTGTGTGGAGCAGTATCTACAGGGGAAGGTTTGTTCATTCTTCCACTTGCACATTCATTCATCCACTTAATGAATGTTGGTGACGATGACAACAATGGTGACAGCGGACCCTTAAGTCCTTCTGTGTGTTAGAGACTCTCCGAAAATCTTTACCCATTACTTCCTATTGAATCTCAACAACCACTGTGTGTGGCATATAGTGGTATTATCCCATTTTAAAGATGAGAAAACTGAGGCTCATAGGACTTGAGCAATGCACCCTCTGCCTCATTGGCCCTTAGTCTCTGGATAAGGACTCAAACAAAGGACTAGTGGATTTCATACTAAATGTATTTCCCCAAATGCACATAATCCTTATTTAGATAAGGGTACTCTTGCGGCAGGGACGGGAGGGGGGGGGAGGCGGGGGGGGGGGGTTGTCGGGAAAAATTGATGGCTCTAGATCAGCAACTTTGTGCCAGGGACAAATTTTATCTTCACAACAACCCTGAGCAGTTGGAATTTATTGTTCTATTTTCTGGATAGAAAACAGGGCTCTGGGAGACGGTCTTTCCCAAGGTCACATGGCAAGCAAGTGGAAGACCTGGCTTTGGAAATGATTTCCAATCCCCTGCCGGATCCTGTGCCCCACGCTAGAGAAGGGATCCACTCGGGTTGTCCTCCACCCTCCCAAGGCACCTGGGCCACTGGCTGTTACCTCCCAGCTCCCTCATATGCTCGGGAACGTAAAACTTCCAATGTACGTGGGCTCCCACCCAGTCTGCACAATCCAACCCTTTGGCAAGTCCGAGAAGATCGCATGTTAGACGGCGGCCCCTAGTGGCCAAGCCTGGTAGTGCACCCTTGGTTCATAGACTGAATAGTCGACCAGTATCTTCATTCCCATCTGTCATTAGTGAACACCTACCCTGTGTGGGGACTGGAGGTTCCCAGAGATGAATGAGATAAGATCCCTTCCCTCGAGGAACCACAGTCTCCTTAGAGAAGACACATGTATCAATAAAAATATTTTTTTAATATTTTTAAAAGAAAGACATGGATATCAGAACAATAGGTGGGGGACAATGGACTTGCGCCATCTGGCTGGGGTATCTGGAAAGCCTCCCCCGCTGAGGCAGTCCTGGTGCTGGGACTTGAATAAGGAGGAGCGACCGGCAGGCAGGTGAGGAAAGGGTATTTCAGATGGAGCAGCGGGGCTTGCAAAGGTTCAGGCAAGGGAGGGCCGCCAAACAAGATAATGGACATCAGGGTTACATTTGAATTTTTTTTTTAAATAGTAAATTGTATTCACTGTTTTTATCTCTAATGCAATTGCTCACACTCGTTTAATTGTTTCAGGGAGTGTTCAGGGGCTCTGTGCATCCCTGACATGTGCATGACTGGCATGTGCGTGTTTCTCTGCGTCAGGGGTCATAGTTTCCCATCAGCTTCCCAAAAGGGTTCCAGATCCTCAAAAGGTTAAGTTCTCCACCCTGTTTGCTTTTCTGAACTGGGCTTTCCAAGACCAGGGCCTGTGCTTTAACCTCTGTGGGTCCCCAGTGCCCAGCCTGGCACCTAATGCAAAGAGGGCATTTGGAGAAGGCTATCTGGGCAGCTGACAGATGCCTGAATGAGCACCAACTAGGCAGGTAAACATTTGCATCCAATTCGAACACATCTCCACCGCGATTGCAGCAGCTGGCTCTTTGTCCTGTCCAGGCTCCTCGGGTCACCCTGGGCAGTGCTTAGGAGGTGTGAATTGGTGTTCTGCATCTCTCAAAGGTACCCAAGGATGTGAATATTAGAGGTGGCTCCTGTGTGGTTTTGAGTCCCAAAGCAGCCATCAACTGATGCATGTGACCTTGAGCATAATTTTCCTTTTCTGGGTCTTAATTCTTGTCTGGCTCAGTGTGCTAAGGCTGAACAGGGGTCCTTAATCCATCAAGGCATGAGTCAGAGAGAGGGATGCAGAAGTGAGCAATGTGGGCCTTCTCCCTGCTGTCCGCAAGAATTCACAATCTAGACCCCCAGGGTGACCACTCAGTATATGTGTATTAGTCACCTGTTGTTGAGATGGTGCTGCAGAACAAACAACCCCAAATCCAGTAACCTACAGCAAGTAGCTGTTTTCCTTACTCATAGGTTTGTATCTGTCTGTCAGCTGAGGTGGCTCCATTTCACTCTAGAAGTTAGGTCAAGATCCTTTCCCCGTTTTTTTCTCTTTCTGGAACTAGTTGTTACCCAGACTAAGCCCCACCTCATGGCAGATTGCAGAATCACAAGAGGCCAAGCCAAATCAACAAGTATATGTAACGCCCCTGCGTGCATCATGTCCCCTAGAACATTCCAGTGGCCAAAGCAGGTCACGTAGACAAACTCGGCACCCATGAGGAGGAGAAATACACTCTGCCTTTTCTTGTGTTGCAAAAATCACATGCAAAGGCTGCAGGTGTGTGATTCTGTTCCTGGGAGGGAGTGAAGAATTTGATAACCACAGATGTTTATCTGGTGGCCAGAACCCTCCTCACCCCCCCACCCCCACCCCTACCCCCCTGCGAGTGGCAGAAGTGATCAGTGGGCTGTGGGCCCGCTGTGGGCAACAACCTCGCTAACTGTCTTCTCTGTTCCTCGGCAGGAGCTCAGTGAGTACAACGCCACGGCCATAAAAAGCCCCACCAACACAGTCACTGTGCAGGGCCTCAAAGCCGGCGCCATCTATGTCTTCCAGGTGCGGGCACGCACCGTGGCGGGCTATGGGCGCTACAGTGGCAAGATGTACTTCCAGACCATGACAGAAGGTAAGAGGGGCCAGAGGGCGGGGGTGAGGGGGGCGCACTCTGACTCCCCCAGCAGAACAAACTCGAGAGCCACCTTCCTACAAAACGCCTCGGTGCACTTTAGAAACGGCACCCCTGCCCCTTGATGTCAGTCAGCCCTCCTTCCCTCCTGGCTGGAAGCCTCTGCGCCCTGTGCAGATGGCATAGCCATATATAAAGGATGGTGATATTCCATCACCAGCATGTCAGTCAGGCCACTTCCTTTCCCACGACTTCTGGAAGCTCGGCCCTGTCCTGCAGTCCCTCTGAGCAAATCACACCCATCCTGTGGTCCAGATTTCCCTCCTCTGTAAAACGAAAGCATCCTATGCAATCTGAAAACGCAAAACTACTTCACCCCTACACCAGTTCAGCGGGGAAAAGCGCCGGGATGGATTAGTAATGTCTACCCCCGGGGCAAGAGAATGGGAGGTTGCAGCCCATGATGTGTTGTGTCTCCCAGTCTGGGACCACATGGTCTCTAAGTACCTTTCCCGCTCTGATAATCTTTTAAGGGCAGCATAGTTAAAGAGCGTGGACTCTGGTGCCTGACAGATGGAAATTACAATGGAGATTCAGCCCTAACTGTATGGCCCTACGCAACTTAGCTTAACCCTCTGAGCCTCAGGTTTTCTCTTCTCTAGCGGGGGATGATAACAACTATCTCATTATCATCATGGGATAAGGATGGAGATAAATGTTATTGCAGCACCTAGCACAGGGTTGGTGCTAGGTCTCACATATTTAGCGCTCACCAAATAGTACTTTAGGTTTTGGTTGTCATTTCCGTGAGCCTGGGGCCCTTCCACTAACCAGCCAAGTTTTATTTATGATGAGGCTCCAGCATTGTCCCTCACAGCGCCCCCATCTCTTCCAGCACTAGTTCCTCTCTCCAAGCCCCTTTCTCACAGCCAACATTTTCACCTTTCTCAGCCCTCCAGAATGCTGGGTGAGCGTTACTGACATGGGTTCTGAGGAACTGTCCCAGATCCTTCCTTTATTATTCAACAGGTGTGTGCTGGCGCTAAGACCCAGAACTGACCTTGTCCCTGACTTTGACAAGCCCGTCTGGCCATGAAAGCAAATGGGAATAATAATAGAATTTAAAACGATGATCATGTTGGTGACATTGAGGAAGTACTGAGTGGTTTGCAAGAGCATGGCCAATGCCGAGTGCATTTTACGAATTATCTCAGTTAAGCCTACAGCCTTTCTAACTGTGTGACCTCAAACAAGTCATGACCTCACTAAGCCTCAGTTTCCTTATCTGTAAAATGGGTTAACATAGGCAGTGCATCACGGGGCTGTTCTGAGAATCAAACAAGATACATAGCATACTTAGTGCAATGACCAACCCTTAAAACACTCAGTAACATTAATAGTTGATATTTACTGAGTGTTTACCAGGCGCTTTCCACGGTAGTCCCAGGAAATGGGAAGTATGATTCTCCCCACTTTACAGAGGAGGAAACTGGGCCACAGAGAGGTACGTCCCTTGATGAGAGTTCACACAGACAGAAAGTGGCAGCTCTGGGACCCAAACCCAGGGAGTCTGGCCTCAGCGTCTGTGCTTATCCCTGCCTCCCCTTCTGTGTCGGCTTATTGTTGTTGATTTTCACATCCACATTGAGGTGTGGGTATGATGCCCGTGTTACTGGTGAGAACGTGAGAGTCAGAGCAGTTCCTGGCCTTGTCCAAGGTTACGTGTGAGCCAGGGAGAGCCAGTTCTCCCCCGGAGCCTGGGGCAGGTGCTCTGGGAGGCGCAGGAACAGAGCACAGAGCCTGGCCTCTCGGGAGACCCCGGAGGGCAGCGGGCTGGGAGGGTTCCCCGGGCCGGGCTGAGAACACTGTGCCACGCTCTCTCCCCAGCCGAGTACCAGACAAGCATCCAGGAGAAGCTGCCCCTCATCGTCGGCTCCTCGGCGGCGGCCCTGGTCTTCCTCATCGCTGTGGTCGTCATCGCCATCGTGTGCAACAGGTGGGTGGGTGTCCCCCCGCTCCCCAGGCCTGGCATGCGGCCATCCAGCCATTCCTGTGAACAGAGAAGGCATTTCCAGCAGTACCAGGGACGGGGAGAGGCCTGGGTCGGCCTGGGTACCCCCAAGTGGCCTCTCCCACCTCCTCCTAAATGGCCCCATTAGCAGCCCATCCCATTGCCCTGGACAAGTACACTGTTCAGGGTGGCGCCCTGAGACACTAATACTTCAGCAGGAAGAACATCCCAGAGCAGCGGGCAGAAGGACCACGGGAGCTGAGGGGGTCGGGGAGGGAATACAGATCGCCCTGCCTTTGCCCTGGTTGAGGCCCCTTCATGATTAGGGCCAGAAGCAGTGTCAGACGGGAGGTTGAGGCGCTCAGGGAAGGCCTCCTGGCTGAGGTGGCTGGGAAGACGGAGAGGACACAGGCAGGAGGAGGTGGGGGAAGAGCACCCCACCTGGCTGGGATGGGCTGTGCAGGAAGGGGGTGTGGTTCCCTGACTTCTGCTAGGGAAAGGCAAAGAGAAACTCTTCTTCCTTAAAGAGTTCCCCACTTTATTTTATTTTTTTAAAATATAGTTGTAATGATTGCAGGGAGGAAGGGAAAGGGAGAAAGGGACAGAAACATCAACAATGAGAGAGAATCATTGATGGGCTGCCTTCTGCATGCCCCACACTGGGGATCAAGCCCACCAGCTGGGCGCACGCCCTGACCAGGAATCAAACCGTGTCCTCCTGGTTCATAGGCTGAAGCCACGCCGGCTGGGCAGGAGTTCCCCACTTTATTTTTTTTTTTAATATATTTTATTGATTTTGTACAGAGAGGAAGGGAGAGAGATAGAGAGCTAGAAACATCGATGAGAGAGTCATCGATCAGCTGCCTCCTGCACACCCCCTACCGGGGATGTGCCCACAACCACGGTACATGCCCCTGACCGGAATCGAACCCGGGACCCTTCAGTCCCCAAGCCGACGCTCTATCCACTGAGCCAAACCTGTTTTGGCAAGAGTTCCCCACTTTAGAGGACCCTGGGTCATAAGGTCAGATGGACAGAATTCCCGGGGTTTCTGGGGCCAGGGGTCATGGCCAGAGGAAATGACTTTGCTCTTTGAAAGGGGCTTGGCTGGAGAGGGGATGGGGAAACAGCGAGCCTGGACTTGAAGGGGGAGAGTGGGGAGAGATGAGTGGGGCCCGGACGGGTGAGGCTGTAGGCGAGGGGCAGGCAGGGAGGCCTCTGACAGGAATGTGGTTTCAAAGGCCTGCCCCCCCCCCCTCCCCCTATCACCTGCTGTGGCTCCCAGCGCCTCCAGGTGGCTCCAGCCCTTTGCTCTTGTTCCAGAAGACGGGGGTTTGAGCGTGCGGACTCGGAGTACACGGACAAGCTGCAGCACTACACCAGCGGCCACAGTACGTATCCCCCAGGGGGCTGCTGCCCTCGGGCCCTGCACCGCCGGGTCCCGGCAACTTCTCCAGCCTTCTTTCTGCCGAGTCAGACTGCATGATCTGACCGTGCCGTGCTCGCCGCCACCTCGGCCTCTGCCCATGGTGCTCCCTCTGCCTGATCACGCTCCTGAGCGTCTCTTCCTCTCCCTCTGAGAAAGAAGCCTTCCTGACCCCACCCCAGCGGGTGCAGGGCTGCCGTCTGTGTTCTCAAACTGTACTCAGTGGGGTACCCTAGGGTTCCACAGATGGCCCCTGGATAAAGGGGGGCCGTCAGCCTGGCCATTCACTTGTCACATGTTCGTTGTAGCCTCCCATGTCTGCCAGGCCCCATTATAGGTGCTGGGACATACAAGGAAACAGACCAAATATCCCTTGCCCCCATGAACTTATATCCTAGAGTCAGGGACAGAGAATTAAAAGAAAAAAATGTCATAAATGAGTAAAGCATATGGTATATTAAAAGATGGAAATGCTGTAGGGAAAGGCAAGAACGAAGCAGAGTAATGGATGGAGAGCGGTGGGTTCAGGGCTGTGTTTTTAACTAGGGGAGTCAGGGTTGGCCTTGCTGAGGGTTTCGTTTGAAGAAAGATGCTAAGGAGCTGGGGGGAGGGGCGGGGGGAGAGGGGAGAGAGAGGAGCTGTGCAGCGATACCTCAGCCAAGAGCATCCAAGGCCGCGGAGCAGCCAATGTAAAAGCCCTGAGCCTGCACTGTGTCTGGGAGGGCTCAGGAACAGCCACGGGACCAGTGTGACTGGAACAGGGTGAGGGGGCAGGAGGGGGAGCTAGGAGGAGCCACAACATGCAGGTTCTTGTCAATCAGAGCAGGGCCTTAGTTTTTATTCTGAGTGAACTGGGAAGCTTCTAGAAGGACCTGAGCAAAATACAGACGGGCTCTGCATTACAGTTCGGACAGGACTCTCCTGGTTGCCATGTAGAAAATGCACGGAAGGGTGAGGTGTGGCCAGGCAAGGACAGAGGAGGGAGACCCAGGAGGGGGCTGTTGGAATAATCCAGGGATGGTATGTGATGGCTAGACCAGGAGCCGTGATGGAGATGGTAAGAGGTGGTTGGGATAATCCAGGGATGGTATGATGATGGCTAGACCAGAGGCCGTGATGGAGATGGTGGGAGGTGGTTGGATTCTGACATATTTTGAAGGTAGAACCACTAACTTTGTTACAGGACTGGAGGTGGGGGGTCGGCAAAAAGGGCAGAGTTGGGAATTCCAGGTGAAGCCTCTGGGTAAAACTCAGTTTGAAGTAAACGTTCCTGTTAAGCTTAACAATTACTGTGGACATAAATGGAACAACGATTCAACCATTCACATTTCCAGAAGGCAATTTAGGTAACCATTTAACTGTACTGTGAAAAGAAAAGGACTGTCGGAAGTGTAAAAGCAAAGAAAAGGGCAGACAGATTTAACTACACGGAAATAAACATCACCTGCACATCCACGTAAAGGTCATAAATGACATCACGCCTCCGATTCCCCAAGTTATAAAATCATGGTCGCAGAGGTAGCTAACCATATTGGCTGTATTCTGTGTGCCAAGAGTTGTTTTCTTGCCTTTCATGTACGCATTCCTTTGGTCCTTATAAGTTCCCACTGTGAATACGAGTCAGCAGCCGCTCGGGCAGGGGCTGGGCGGGAGCCGAGGGTGTCAGGCTCCAGCGTGCAGGCTCTCAGCCACACGGTGCAGCCTCCACCCGGCTGGCTGGGCTAAAAGAAGACAGGCTCGCACACGCTGTCACCTGGAGCCATTTGGGAGCATCACTGTTTAGAGAGAGAGTGAATAACAAGGAGACAGGGGACAGTAGGGACCTATTTTAAAAAATGGACCCGGGATTGACTCATAGACCAAAGCAATTGAAAACCCAGGCTCACTCCCTGTGTCTGAGCAGGTCTGTTCGTTTCAAAGCACTGCTAGCCCTGGGGTCCCAGGTCCACCAGCAGACTTCCCTGTGTGGTCAGGGCACGGGAGGAAGCTGAGAGGTGCGTGACTGGCTGTGTCCCCTCTGTGGGCTCCTGTATTCCGTCATTTGGCAGGTGCTGAATGAATGCCAGGGGCTATGGTGCCTGGATGTAGAGCCAGAGGGACTGACCTGATGTTTCATTCTGGCCAGTTAGGTTGCCTTGGGGAAGTCACCAAACCTCTCTCAGTCTCCGCATCTTTATTTATTTTATTTTTTTTTCTTTGTTTCCAGAGAGGAAGGGAGAGGGAGAGAGAGATAGAAACATCAATGATGAGAGAGAATCATTGATCGGCTGCCTCCTGCATGCCCCGCACTGGGGATCGAACCTGCAACCCAGGCATATGCTCTGACCGGGAATAGAACCACGGCCTCCTGGTTCAGAGGTCGATGCCCAATCACGGAGCCACGCCAGCCGGCTGGCATCTTTATATGGGAAGTAGCAGGAATAATATTTTTTTTCACGAAATTGTGAGAATTAAATAAATGGATGGATATTAAAGTGCTTTGTAATAATAGTATTTAACAATAGCCAACTCTTCATTATAACAGTTAACAATTAGTGCCTTCTATTTGCCAGCTACTCTACTAAGCCCTTTGAAAAGATCCTCATTGAGTCCCTGCCAGCCCCCTGTGGGATGTCCTGTTTCTCTGTGACATCATTTCTGGCAGACCCAGATTTCCAACCCAGGACTCTGAATGCCTGGTCTCTCCTCGCTCATCCTGGATTTCCCCTGTAGGTTCAGGATGCGAGGTGATGGCCCTGACAGTCATGCCTCCTCTGAACAACAGCCCGGTGTTTTCTGAAGGGTCTGCCTGCAGGGCTCCTCACGCAACCTCGGTTCAGCAAATGACCCTCCTCGGAGCCAGGTCTTGTGCACAGCTGTGGCCACAAGCTCCCTTCGATTTCGAACTACGAGCTGGGAAGCAGCAGGAAATGCTGGCAGGACAGACCCAGCCAGACTACCTGAATCACACCCCACTCCTGCCACGTGTTGCCTGATCCGTGTCCCCTTGGGCAGATCATTTCACCTTTCTTTTTCTTTTCTTTTTGTTTTTTCTTTTTTTAAATATATTTTATTGATTTTTTTTACAGAGAGGAGGAGAGAGGGATAGAGAGTTAGAAACATTGATGAGAGAGAAACATCGACCAGCTGCCTCTTGCACACCCCCTACCGGGGATGTGCCCGCAACCAATGTACATGCCCTTGACCGGAATTGAACCTGGGACCTTTCAGTCCGCAGACCTACGCTCTACCACTGAGCCAAACCGGTTTCGGCCATTTCACCTTTCTTATGCCATCCTTTCTTCACCCAAGAAAAGGGAGGTGCAACAGTAGGTTGGACCAAATGAAATTGCCGTCTTTATAGGTCCAAAGCAGTCAAATAGTGACAATTTCATAAGGCTCGGTGTAATAAATAGCATTTACCTGGTAAGGTTGTTAGGAGGATTAATTGGGTCGGTACCTTGTGAATGCCTAGAACAGGGTCTGTGCCTGGGAATCCACATTGAACTGCAAGCCAATGGTGCTCTGAAGGGTGAGGTGAAACCGAAGGGTCCCAGAAGCAGGATGGCTTCGCTCAGAGTCCTGCCTTCAGTGAGTGTTTACTGAGCATCTACTGTGTACCTCCTTCACATATGTGCTCCAGAGAAAGTATTCTGGGCTCATTACTTTGGACTCACAAACCCCTAGAGCAGTGGTCAGCAAACTCATTAGTCAACAGAGCCAAATACCAACAGGACAACAATTGAAATTTCTTTTGAGAGCCAAACTTTTTAAACTTAAACTTCTTCTAATGCTACTTCTTCAAAGTAGACTCACCCAGGCCGTGGTATTTTGTGGAAGAGCCACACTCAGGGGCCAAAGAGCCACATGTGGCTCTCGAACCATAGTTTGCCGACCACTGCCCTAGAGCTTCAGGGCCTATACTTCCAAAAATATTCTGAATATGGGAGTGTATGCACATGTAGATGTTTTTCCAAGGAGCGGATCCATAGCTTTTGCCAAATTCTCAAAGGCATTCATGACCCCAAAGAGGTGGAGAGGGGGAAAGAGGGCACATCAGTGAGTGATGCAATTCTTCCATCAAAAAGCATTTAGTTAGCAGCCTCCTTGCCAGCCCTTGGGGTGGAGCGTGAACAACAGACACAGCCTCTGTGCCCTGGAGCAGCAAGGGTACAGCAAGCCCTCCCAGGCGGCAGAGTGTTCCAGAAAGGAGGGGGCGTGGCTTTGAGCATGCATGTCTGGGACCCCCAATACAAGGTTTAAAAAAGCCACATAGACATCAGGGCCAGAAGAGTGGGTGTGGAGACAGGGCTGCGGGAGCCGGAGGAGAAAGCATGGGTCTCCATGAGAGGGACCCAGGCAGGCTTCACAGAGGAGGTGGCACTTGTTCTGGACAAAAGAGGAAAAGAAGGGTGATCCAGGTGGAGGGAGCCACGTGAATGGAACCACATGAATGGAACTTGAAGGTGTTTCTGGGACCTCTGGGTATATAACTCCTCTTTGCTGGCATGCAGAGGATCAGAGGGCTATCCGTGGAACCCATCACTGAGGGCACTGGCCTCTGTCCTCCTGATCATCACTCTGGTGACACTTGGGGATGGCATCTGATGGGCTAGCAGCACCCAAGCAGGCTTTGAGCTCTTTCTGTGCTTCTCCTTAGCTCCCTGAACTGACCCATTCCTGTCCTCCCTCCCAGCTGACCCAGCAGGAAGGGCTTCCCCCAGTTCTATGAGGAGGGAGGCTAAAAGTCAGCCCCCCAGACCCACAGGCCAATCAGAGTCCGAACAAAAAAAGGAGGAGCATCCCCAGGGAACTTGTGTCCCTGCTCTGAGAGGGGTTGGCTTGGGGAAGAAGGAGTCCTGGCTGAATACTCCAGGAAGCAGGGAGCATGGTAATTAAGAGGACTGGCCCTTGGCTCAAGCCTGACAGACGTGGGTTCAAATCCCGGCTGTGCCACTGGCTAGCTGTGTGGCCTTGGGCAGATGACTTCCTCTCTGAACTGCAGTTTCCACGTGTGTGAAATGAGAATAATGACACCTTCCTCGAGTTGTCGAGCAGAGGAGAGAGAGAATGCATATCAAGACCCTGGCACAGGGTGAGGCACAGACAAAGGGTCTGTGTAAATAGGAACTGCTATTCTTCTCTCTCCGTCATCTGGATTCTGCTCAGCTCTGACACCGCGTGTCTGTTTTGTGCAGAGCTTTATGCAGTGCCCCAGGGAAGGGCCGAGTGAGAGAGGTTCACACTCCCACCTCCCCTCCCAGGCTCCCACTGGCCAGCATGGTGGGTCTGAACCCCTTTGGTGGGGAGGGTCCCAGGCTCCTCTGAGACAGCCAAAAGTTTTGGATCCTATGGCCAGAGAAACAAAAGTTTGCCTATGTGTGTGTATAAAATTACAAGATAGGAAAACCCAGAAAAGTCTACACTGAGGGATAGGTTTTGGAGAACTTTTACTTTCAACAATATTTACTTCCAGAATTTTCAGACTATAAGGAACTAGCATTACTTTTCTTTTTCTTTTTTTTTTAAATATATTTTATTGATTTTGTACAGAGAGGAAGAGAGAGAGACAGAGAGTCAGAAACATCGATGAGAGAGTCATCGATCAGCTGCCTCTTGCACACCTCCTACTGGGGATGTGCCCGCAACCAAGGTACATGCCCTTGACCGGAATCGAACCCAGGACCCCTCAGTCCCCAAGCCGACACTCTATCCATTGAGCCAAACCGGTTTCGGCAGGAACTAGCATTACTTTTCTAATTAAAAAGGGCAATAATAATAAATGTATTCCATTTTAAGAGGTTATCAGACTCCACCCCCTGTCCTGCCCCAAAGCCCACCCTAGAACTGCCAAGTGGTTCACAGACTCAGATTAAGAAACCCTGATCTAAAGGGCTAGACCCGTGGTCGGCAAACTGCAGCTCGCAAGCCACATGCAACTCTTTGGCCCCTTGAGTGTGGCTCTTCCACAAAATACCACGGCCTGGGCAAGTCCATTTTGAAGAAGTGGCATTAGAAGAAGTTTAAATTTAAAAAATTTGGCTCTCAAAAGAAATTTCAATCATTGTCCTGTTGATAATTGGCTCTGTTGACTAATGAATTTGCTGACCACTGTTAGACAAATAATCCAAAACAAAGCTCAGGTGTTAGAGTAGTGGTTCTCCAACTTTCCTGTAAAGGGCCAGATAGTAAATACTTGAGGCTTTCGAGCCATATAGTCTCTAATTTAGCTACTCAACTCAGCCACTGTGGTGTGAACGCAGCCACAGGCAAAAGGAATGTGTTCCAATAAAACTTTACTTATAAAACCTTATTTCAAAACAAATAGTGGGCCAGTTTGCCAATCCCTATTTAGAGGTTCCACCTCTGGATTCCTGGAATGTCTGAAACAGAGGCTGAGAGTGGTCAACTAACATGTCCAAGGTCACACCGAGAGTGGTCAATTAACGTGCCCAAGGTCACACTATCTGCTCAGGGTTAATGGCCCCACTCATCAACCAACCAAGTCTTCCTTATGACCCAGGGACTCCAGTTCCCAACTCCTACAGCTGCTACCAGAAAGTCCCAGCCCCAGAGCAGTGGGAGGATGTGTGCAGGGAGCTGGGGAAGCCAGAGGAAGCCAGGGCTGAGAGAGCCAGATGGTCAGAGAAGCAGAAGACCATTTATCTGGGAGGGGCAATGTGGGATGGATCATCTTTCCCTTTTTTTTTCCCCAAAGCTTTTGTGGACTCAGTGCTGGGGTCAGAATTGGGTCTTTGAAATCCAAATCACCTCCTTCCTTCCTCTGCATAAAAAAATAAAAATTCACATCAGATCGGGAATTATGTCCATATCCTGCCTCATGCTGATCAACAGGGAATTTGAGATCTAGAAAGGTTTAAAGACTTGGCCAGTGGGGGACCCCGGAGGTGGTCCCAGGAGCCATGGTGAGGCAGCCAGGATCTCCTGGGGGAAGAGAAGGCTTGAATTAGGCCTTAAAAACTAGGAAGACCTCCTTAACAGAAACCCAAAAACACAATCTATTGCCTTCTTTTCTGTATTTTTATTACAATTTTCTTCCCTTTCCTTCTTGACTTCCTTCCTCCTGATTCTCTATCTCAATAGTGACAACCCTATCTATCCTTTCTTCCTTTTATGCCCACACGCATAACAGACATTGCTAATCAATCCTGACCATCTTTCAGCAGCTCCAGGAAGTCCATTAGAGTTGGAACAAGAGCTAGAACCTATTTGCTATCCCTGCTGAGCAATCTGTTCCCCTTACGCTTCTGTTCAGTGCCCATCTGCTCATCGAGGCCCAGAGAGGTCAAGTGGCCTGCAGGGGGTGGCCAAGTTCTTAGGGGGGGACCCCATAGGGTTACATGTCCATCCATGGATGGATTGGCTCTCCCCTTTTCATGTGTCCACATCTTCAATCTGTGCATTTGACCAAGCCTTGTCTGATCCCTCAGTGACCCCAGGCATGAAGATCTACATTGACCCCTTCACCTACGAGGACCCCAATGAGGCAGTGCGGGAGTTTGCCAAGGAAATTGACATCTCCTGTGTCAAAATTGAGCAGGTGATTGGAGCAGGTAGGTGGCTGGTGTCCTCCCAGGTACTGCGACTTCAACCACATGTATCCACCCCCATGTGTACTCCTGAGACAGTGTAGGATGTGGGGCAGAACCCTCAGAGGTCCATCCAAGGCCTGAAGGCTCAGAATGCCCAATGGAAAAGTCCCCCAAAGGTCATCTAGTAAAACTACCTCATCAACAGATAAGGACACTGAGCCACAGGGCTGGGAGGGAATGTATACATCACATCAGAGATGGAGCTAAGCCTGGAACCCAGTTCTCTGGACTCCGTCCAGTGCTTTGTCCTTCCCACCACTCATCCCAAGCCCCACCCCCCATCTCCCTAGCCCCCCTATGTCCTCACCCCATGCCAGCCATGAAGAGTTGACTCTTCCTCTCAAAGGTGGGCCCCCGTAGTCTACAAAGGGACTCTGTGTCCAAGAGGATGAGTTGGACGTTGAGGAGTCCCCTGGCATGGGGGTTACAGGGCGCGGGGAGGTGACATGTCTACCTGGCATGTGACGTCTTGCCCCTCTTGGTGTGTCTGCCCAGGGGAGTTTGGTGAGGTGTGCAGTGGCCACCTGAAACTGCCAGGCAAGAGAGAGATCTTTGTGGCCATCAAGACGCTCAAGTCGGGCTACACAGAGAAGCAGCGCCGGGACTTCCTGAGCGAGGCCTCCATCATGGGCCAGTTCGACCATCCCAACGTCATCCACCTGGAGGGTGTTGTCACCAAGAGCACGCCCGTGATGATCGTCACCGAGTTCATGGAGAACGGCTCCCTGGACTCCTTCCTCCGGGTAGGGGACCGTGGGCGGGCCAGGAAAAGGAGCGGCGGGCGTAGCTTCCTATACAGTCAGAGCCGCAAAGGGTTTTGGAAAAGATCTAGATCAGGAACGGCCTGTACATTTGCCACTTGTCATTCCCTTGCCCACAGCCAACATCACTAATCAATCCCAGAAATCTCTCCAACCACATTCCAAAGCACATCTCAGACACAATCCAGGAAACCACAACCAGTTGACCAGAGTTAGCATACAATCTGAAAGTGATTGCCATCCATGCTCTTAGCCAGCCTCCTCATTATGCACAAGGGAAAACTGAGGCTCAAGAGGTAGGGTTTGCCCAGGGTCAAGGTGAAAGTCAGGACTGGGACCAGGTCTTACCCTTAGTCCAGAATTTTCACTGATTTTGGATTCCTCCAGAGCACTACAGGCCAGGGGAGTTGTTCAGAGCCCCGAGGAAAACTCCAGGTCCCCTAGGAGTTCATAGTCAACCAGACAGACAGACAGCACTGACGAGGAGTCGGAAGTATGCCTTGGCCTAGTTACTATTTAGCAGATATTTTTCAAATACCTCATATGAGCCAGGCCCCTCCCATATACCTTCTTTTTTAAAAAAAATATATTTTATTGATTTTTTACAGAGAGGAAAAGAGAGGGATAGAGAGTTAGAAACATCAATGAGAGAGAAACATCAATCAGCTGCCTCTTGCACACCTCCTACTGGGGATGTGCCCACAACCAAGGTACATGCCCTTGACCAGAATCAAACCTGGGACCTTTCAGTCTGCAGACTGACGCTCTATCCACTGAGCCAAACCGGTTTCGGCTCTCATATGCCCTCTTATTTAACTCAGATAGCCTTAGAAGGTTGTCACTTATCTCCACTTAGCACACACATGAGGAAACTGAGACTCGAAGATGCTAGGTCATGTGTCCAAGGTTGCACAGACAGCAAGGGGTAGAGCCAGACTCAAACCAACTGTGTCTGCTGCACAGTCTGTTCTCTCCACCACCCTGAAACTTCCCCCAACCCCCCGGGCCTACGGTCCCCGAGCCCCTGAAACGGAGCCTAGGCCAGGGGGTGGGCCCTGCCTTCCCATTGTGAACACCATCCAGAGTCTGATGCAGACCCTCCCACTGACTTGGCATCTTCTCCACTTCTCCTGAAGCAAAACGATGGACAGTTCACAGTCATCCAGCTGGTGGGCATGCTGCGGGGCATCGCTGCCGGCATGAAGTACCTGGCGGACATGAACTACGTGCACCGCGACCTGGCCGCCCGCAACATCCTCGTCAACAGCAACCTGGTCTGCAAGGTGTCCGACTTCGGCCTCTCGCGCTTCCTGGAGGATGATACCTCAGACCCCACCTACACCAGCGCCCTGGTAAGATGCGCAGGGAACGATGGAGTCACGGTGCCAGGAAAGAGGGCATACGCATCCAACTGCCCTGCATTACATTTTCACCTGCTCATGCCAAGCACCATGCCAGGCCCTGGGGATGCAGAGACAGAAACATGGTTCCTGCCCTCCTGAAGCTCACAGGCTGGTGGGGGACACATACGTACAGAGCAATATGGAGGGACAGGACTCAGAGCCAGGACACAAGCTTGGGGAGGCAAAGGAAGGCTTGCTAGAGGGGGTGCTATCTGAGCTGAAGGCTGAAGGGCCAGTGAAAGTTAGTCCAACTTCGGCCTCTCGCGCTGGTCTCATGGTAAGATGATACCAGGACGCAAGCTGCGAGGTAAAAGTGGTGGGCAAGAGTTTGGGGAGTGAGGCAGGGCCAGCTCTTGGAGATCCTGAATGCCCAGGCTCATGACCCTCTCCTGAAAGCAGTTTGGGTTGGTGAAGGGTTTTAACAGGAAGGAACAGGACACAGTCCCTGCCCTCAGAGCCAGACAAGTAGCAGATGACCAGAGTACTCCTCTGTATGGGAAGTGCCTCTTTGGTGGAGATACAGGCACAGTTGTAGGATTCAATAGAGTGAGCAACAATTGGGACTTAAAGACTTTCAGAGGGACTTAAAGGATGAGAAGGAGGTTTCCAGATGGGAGGATGGGGAAAGCTACTGCCTGCAGAGAAATAGCATGTGCAAATGCCCTGAGATCTGAAGCAGTATACTGAGGTTGGGAACAGTAAGATGCTTCTTAGGACTGGTACAGCACGGGGCATATGGCGGGGTATGTTGAGAGCAGAGGCCAGACTAGCCCTCTTCCCACCCATCCACCCTCCTCATTCTGCTCCCCAGGGTGGGAAGATCCCCATCCGCTGGACAGCTCCGGAAGCCATCCAGTACCGGAAGTTCACCTCAGCCAGCGACGTGTGGAGCTATGGTATCGTCATGTGGGAGGTGATGTCGTACGGGGAGCGGCCCTACTGGGACATGACCAACCAGGATGTAAGTCTCCAGGAGAGAGCGTCTCTGGCCAGCCAGGTGGGGAAAGGGGGGGGGGGGGGTCCCTACATTCCTGGTCTTTGCTGATCTCCGGAGAGTGGGAGCACCATCTCTGAGATCCTGGGCACGGGCAGCTCCCAGCCTGTAATGGCTGAGTCACATGTCTGCACAGGACCCTGGACTCTCCAGGGGCTCAGGAGTAGGAAGGTCCATCATCTACAAATCAGCAAATCTTGAAGATGTATTCATCTTGTGGCCTGCCCTGAATGGGACTATGTCTGCCCCTCAAGTGTTTAATTTGGGGACAATACACTTATTCCGGGTACCAGATGCAGTTATTGGGAACTTTTAGGATCAGGTGCTAAACTTTTAGGAAGTCTTCACGGGACAGAGGGACTCACACAGCAATGGGACTTGCAGACGAGAGGGATTCCAGTGGAAAGAAGGCCCAGAAGTGGGGTGGTGAGGGGCTGCATTGGGAGCAGTGGGGAGGAAAGTGGTTGGAAAGGTAGATGAGGTTCAATAATGGGGTGTACGAAAGTCAACTCAGGAATTCCTATTTGCAACGATGCGGACAGGGTGGACTCGAAGGAGCTGCTTGGCAGGGAGGGTGACCCTGTCAAGCTGGGGAAGATGAGTCTGGCCCCAGTGGCAGGACAGATGGGAGGCAGGTGTTTGAGTTCCATTTCCTGACAGAAAAGCCAGGTGGGAGCCATGGAAAGGGGTGCCAGTCTGTGCCGTGAGGCCTGACAAGGAAGGCATCTCTCACCTGGAGCTGAAAACCGCACTGAAGTCCAGAGTGTGGTCAGGAACCAGGAGGAGGAGTCCTCAGGCCATCAAAGCCAGGAGGGGGCTCCGAGTTGGGGGAGAGGGTGGATCCTGAAACAAGAGACTATCTCAGTGTTCTGGACTCCCTAAGACTGGGGCAGGGGAGGCAAGCACTCAGCTGCCAGGTGAGGCTGGGGCTATACTTGGAGGCCCATCCCTGGGTTGGGCCGGGAAGAGGTGGAGGGCAACCACATAGGTGTGCTGTGAAATGCACTGGAGGGAAGGTAGGCCGGGCCAGAGGGCAGATGCTCTTACCCACCATCCACCCACCCACCCCACTCAGCCCTCTCCATTGTCCCCAGGTGATCAATGCCATAGAGCAGGACTACCGGCTGCCACCGCCCATGGACTGCCCAAGCGCCCTGCACCAGCTCATGCTGGACTGCTGGCAGAAGGACCGCAACCACCGGCCCAAGTTTGGGCAGATCGTCAACACGCTGGACAAGATGATCCGCAACCCCAACAGCCTCAAAGCCATGGCGCCCCTCTCTTCCGGGTACGGCCCTGCCCCTCTCTGTGGCTCCACCCCAGCTGGCCCTAGCCCTCTCCACATACCCTCCCACCCTGGCTGCCCTGCCCCACGCAGATACTCTGCCCGGATTGGGATGGAGCAGGATAGTCTGTGGGGTATCTGCACTGCTGTGGGGTGTAGAGGAGTGCGGGACCCAGTGCCCGCTGGGTGGGAGAGGAAGCCCTTTGAAAGAATGGTCAGATAGGACTGTGTCTAAGCAAAGTTAGCAGAACCTTGGTTAGTAAATGGATCTACTCATCCCTAAGCTTCCTCCCGAACTGCCCTCACACTCAAACCTGTACTCCCTGCGTTTGCATCCTCCTTGACACAGCCCTCCCTCCCCCCCGCCACACACACACACACACACACACACACAAACAGGTGCACGCATGCACAAGAACATAGTCCTACACATATGTATGAACATAGGCACACATGCTCATGCTTATGCTCTCCCTCTCACACACACACACAATCTCACACATGACTATACCCATTCTCACTCTCGCACTTACATACATACATACACAGGCACCTGAGCACACACATTCAGCAGTACAGACTCACCATACACACGTGCCCCCACAGAGGGCTCACCACACCTGTAGCTGCCACAGCCTTGCCTGGGCGCTGTCACAGGCCCCACTCAGGACCCAGGCCGCTCTGGGACCCTCAGTCACACAGGGATTCTGAGAGGCAGAGGTCCAGTCAGGTGTCCTTGGGGTCCAGGGCTAGCTGGGTCAGACTCACACACCTAGCTCCTGTGGCCAGCAGGTCTTCGTGTTGGCCTCTACCTGTCGCTTCTCACCTTGACCCTGAGTCAACAGCTCCTGACTTTCCGATACAAATACTGTGAGCTTGTAGCCTTATGAGCCAGCCAGGAAGCCATTCCCATTAGCGCACCAGCTTTGTCTGGACTTTGGAGAGTCGGTCCACATCTCAGCTTCTTACAGCACCACCAGGGTGGACAAGGATGGAGAGTGGCACTGGGGGGAGGAGGGTCATCAGCAGTGAGTCCCCCGGAGCTCCCTCCTGCTGAAATAGGAAGTGTGTCCCGCCTCCCACGTGGCCCAGCCTCTTAGCGGTCCCCGCAGAGGCTTCCCCAGACTTCCCGGGTAGCCCCAGCTTTGAGTCCTGCACACTTGCTTTCTCATATTCACACATTTATGTGTGCACATGTAGGCAGGTTCAAACGCACAACCTCCCACAGGGAGATACGCACATACATGCACACTCACCTGTGTTCGTGCTGACGGATACACACGTGCAGGCACACCCGCAGCCCATCCGCACCCTCTCCCCTCTGCTAGCATGTGCCCTGACCGTCTCTGTTGCCCACCCCACCCCTAGAATCAACCTGCCACTGCTGGACCGCTCGATCCCCGACTACACCAGCTTTAACACAGTGGACGAGTGGCTGGAGGCCATCAAGATGGGGCAGTACAAGGAGAGCTTCGCCAATGCCGGCTTCACCTCCTTCGACGTCGTGTCACAGATGATGATGGAGTAAGTGCCCAGCGGCCTCCACCCACCCTCCCAAGCGGGTGGGGTAAGGAGGGAAGGGGGGGCTCAGGACAGTGGAAAATAGGCAGTGTCCCCGCAAGAATGTGGGGACCAAAAGGGTGAAATGGCCAACTTTGGAGTGACATTCTGATCGACACCCAGGTCCGCCTGCCACCCACTGGCTGAGTGACCTTGGGCCAATCACAGACGCTCCCTCAGCCTCAGTTTTTCCTTCTGTGACCTGGGGGTTTGCAGGAGGAGCAACAGAGATGTAGAGTGGGTGCCTAAGAAGCGCAGGTTCCTTTCCCAGAAGCAGAAGAGAGGGCACACCTCGATCCCAGACTCCCAGCCGCATGCTCCTTCCACCTCATGTAGTCACTCGCTTCCGCTCCAGATGCCCCACACCCCTCCCCCACACCCCTCACCCTTTCCTTGCTCTCTCTCTATCTCTCTCTCTCTTTTTTTTAATATTTGTATGGACTTCAGAGAGAGGAAGGGAGAGGGAAAGGAGAGAAAAACATTAATGATGAGAGAGAGTCATTGACTGGCTGCCTCCTGTACTCCCCCCACTGGGGATCAAGCCTGCAACCTGGAAATGTGCTCTGACTGGGAATGGAACCTTGACCTCCCGGCTCATAGGTCGAGGCTCAACCACTGAACCACGCCGGCTGGGCCCCTTGCTCTTTTCAGCAGGAAACGCTGGAGAAGCCCAGGCAGCTCTCTGCCTGACCCAGAGTCCCCTCCCTTGCCCCCACATTTCCCTAACACATGTGCTTTTCTCCCCAAAGGGACATTCTCCGGGTTGGGGTCACTTTGGCCGGCCACCAGAAAAAAATCCTGAACAGTATCCAGGTGATGCGGGCACAGATGAACCAGATCCAGTCGGTGGAGGTTTGACACTCACCTGCCTCGGCTCACCTCCTCCTCCAGGCCCTGCCCCCTCCGCCCCACACGCTGGCCTCCCTGGTTCTCTGTCCACCGAAGGGTCAGCCACCTGCCAGGAGGCCACGGCAACAGGAAGCACCAAGCAGCCCGCCAGCCATGAGACGTCGCCAAGAACACGTGCAACTCAGATGATGGGGGGGGGAAAGGGAATGGGGACAAACGAAAATAGCTCCTGGGAGGGGGCGGGAAATACACGGACTATTTTTCAAAGAGGATTCTCCTAAGGAAAGCGAGCATTGTTCTTGGGGGAAAAGAAAAAGGGCTTGGGAGATCCATGCGATGGTCCGATCGGAGATCAGAAGCCGTTTCTCTCCAACTCCCTCGGAGAAGGCGACCTGGCCGGAGCCATGGAAACACTTTCAGGAAAACAAATGTGAAAGGGAGAGACCAGGGTCACTCTCCTCTCCTACCCCCCGGGCTGCTCTTCCGGGCCTCGCTCCACAGCCACGTGCCTGGCGGACAGACGGGCAGCCACTCTGGGAATACCCATGCCTACTGCCTCTGGGCACACATAAGAATTTTTCTGTCTTTGGAGGATATTTGAGGAACTCCAGTGAAAGGAAAAAAAAACACGTGTTTCTCCTCTTGGCGTGTGGGGCTGAAAAGGGACCCTTGTCTTCCTGGGTCTGGGAGAACACAGGCCCCCGGGAAGGTCCTTCTTCCTGAGGCTGCCACCCCCCAGGCACGCAGCTCCACGTCCATAATCACGGGCACAGCCAGCCGCCCGGCCTGCGGGGCGCCCACTCCGAACAGCCCCCACACAGAGGACTGGTGCTGCAGTGACCGCCATCAGCTACAACTGCCACTGAGGACGGTTGTTCCTGTGTCTGGGTTTGTTTACAGCGGTTCGTGGACTGGGGTGGGGATATTTTGGTCAGGGGTGAATTTGGTTTAGGGGTTTGTTGGTTGGTTGGTTGTTTTTTGTTTTTGTTTTTGTTTGTTTTTTTTAATGACAATGAAGTGACACTTTGACATTTCCTACTTTTCGAGGACTTGATCCTTCTCTAGGAAGAAGGTGCTTTCAGCTTAATGACTTAGGCAATACACCAAGGGCGAGATTTTATATGCACATAACGTGGATTTTTATATGGTTTTCACTGACACCCTCCCCTCCTCCGCCTGCACAGAGTTCCCGCCTGCCGCCAGGCCTCACCAAAGCCAACTGCCACGGGGCCATCTGGGCCGTTCTGAGACTGAGTGAGATCTGGGCAGAGCTGGGGGGCCAAGGGGAAGGAGCATCCCCTCCCCCGGGACTGTTTTTTGAACGCAACAGATTGAGCAGGAAACAGGCTCCGAGTCCGCAGTGCCAGAATCCTCTGCCCACTTGTCCACTCTCCTTCTGCCCCCATCTATTCCGTGCTTTCGAGGCAAACGGGCCCCTGTGAGGTTCCTGAGTTGCCCTCACCTGGCCAGATTCCAGTGTCGCCTCTGAGAGCCTACACCACGCTGCACCAGGCCCGGCCCCGGGTCATTCACTGTGATATCCCAGCTTCCAGAGCATCGCCCTCAGAGACGCGTGCAGGCATGCTCCTTCCCTCCCTGGGAGAAAACGTGTTGCTCTCCTACCCCCTTCCCGCCTCCAGACCTCGGCCCAAATGTGAAGGGTCTCGGCCATGGGAAAACCCATCAGCCAAGGGGTCAGGCCAGTCTCCCTCCTGTGAGCAAACGCAGGCACCTGAGCGGACCAACCGGTTAGTGAACTGAATGGAAATAAACACTTTAGTTATAAAAAAAAGACCTCTGTTCTCTGTAAGTTCCGAGAGAGAGACCCTGGCACCCTTGGAACTTGTGACTCGTGATGCTCTTCCTCGCTCAGGGTTAGAGAAGGCCCGGGGCTGAGAAGGCACATGGAGGACGCCTGAGTCCATGTGGCCTTTCTGGCTCGGGCTTGTCAAAAGCACAGGCAGTGGAAGAAATGACTTGGAAGCAACTCTTGCTGCCTCTGCAGGACGCGTTGGGAGCAGGGAGTTGGCGGTGAGCTGTGAGCACTCGGCCACCCCGGGCCAGGAGGAGGGAGTCTAGGTACTAAGTGAGCTGTGAAGTGGACTGGGAGGGTCCCGGAGTACTCATGGACCCCCAGTCAAAGCCACAGGAAGGATCACCTTTTCCTGGTCAACTCATCTCTGTGCAAATGGGCTCCCACTCACACAAACTCAGAACTCTTTGTGGAGGGGGAGGCGGGGAATCTAAAGGGGTGAGGCCGGGGAGGCTTCATCCCAGGACCTTTCCCAATTGTCCGTGGGAGACTGACCAGAGGGAACGTTCCAGGTCCCAGCTGGCCAGCTAACGGCCTCTCGGTGGTCCGACAGAGCATCCCGCATGGACCAGCCTGTCGTCTGTCACTCACCTGTTCTCCAGAGCCTGAGATGCACAGGGAAGGAAGGGATTAGAGGGGAGCATGCCCCCCTCTCCAGAGTGGGGGGACAGCAGAGTAAGCCACAGGGAAAGCCTTGGCTGGTTTCCCTAGAACTGGCCAGTCTTGGCCCAGTCGGCCACCCTTATGCCCCAAAGATGCCCAGCACGGGCGGCAGCTGTCCCAGCACACAAGGTCACCTTCTGGAGAGAGCTGCCCTGATGCTCTTCAGATTAACTCTGTCTCCCCAGCCTGCCCCGACCCCTCCCACTGCTCTGGGGCCACCACAGGGGCTGGCACTCAGTGCTTCCTGTCAGATGGCTTCCTGCATTAAGCCGATAGGCTGGTGTCTGCTCGCCAGCACGTCTGCCCATCCACCCTCCAGGGCCCTGCGTCCTCCGTGGTCCTGGGCCCCCCCTCGTGCCTGCTTCTCAAGAGTAAGGGTGCTCCCCGGACCCTCTGTGTCTCCATTTCGGAATGACAGACAGAGGTCACTGTGACCATCCAGGATGCCCGCCTCTTGCTGCTGGAGCAGCTCCCCCACCGCCTCTTGCATCTCAGCAGGAAGTGGCCGGCCGAGCTGCTGGCCCGGGCACCCGGCTCTGAGCCGCCTGCCCGCTGCCTGGTTACTAATCCTTTCCTGGCTCCGTCGCCCCAAGTGCCAGCCCCACCTGCCCAGCAGCGTGAGAGGCGTTTCCGGCTGCTCTGCACGCTGTGGGTGCTTGAGGAAAGAAAAGCCGCCTTGCGAACATGGGCCAGGGCACTGTGGAAATGGGACCAGCTGCTCCCACAGTGTGACAGGCCGATCTTCGCGGGCCAGACTGGGCAATAGCGGCGCCATCGCCTCCGCTCCGACTGCGCCAGAGGCCCCCAAAATGAGCGGTGGTTGATAATCCGCAGGCTTCTTCTTGGGGGGATGGTATCTTTCAACCGGTAAGATGTGGGCAGACCGATCAGAATAGATGATGGACACTTAAGGGAGTCCGGGCCATGGCTGTTTACTAACGAGGGTGCCTCCTGCCCACATGGCATCAGCTGGGTCTTTTCTAGTTGGTGCCCACATTGTCTCCGCTCAGGGAGCTCTCTGCCACCCCCTTGTGTGCAGTCACCAGCCTTGCATCCTTCTGCAATCAGGGGGCTCGTCTCCACAAGACTGGGAGCTCCTTGGCCCTGCCCCTGATTAGCTCTTCCTCACCCCTGGCTGAAGCACAGGAAGGACCCAGGCCTCTGGTCCTCGCCTCCCCCCAGGGCTGAGCCCCTGGCCACTCCCGGCTCTCTCTCCTGGGCCCCTGTAGTTCCAAGACAGGTACCAAAGGATGGAAGACTCTTGCCAGGGAAAGGAGTGTAAACGCATTCAAAGGACAGGAGGCTGTGGGTTGGTAGGAAAAAATGCATCCTGGAAGCCTTGCTCTTGTCACTGAAGATGTGGATCTGGACAAGCCACTTCCTGTCACTGGGCCGCCGCCTCCCTCCCACATGTAAAATGAGAGGATGGGGCTGGGTGAGCCGGGCGAGGAGGCACTCGTTTCTCCCCTAGGTAGGGGGGAAACTGAGGCTCAGTAGCTTGCTCGGCATTACCCATCCAGGAATGGGCAGGGCAAGGCTGGGTTTATGTGCTTCCACCGCCCACTCCACACACTCCATCAGAGGACAGCAAGGATGTAGTGTCCGATAACGGCTGGTAAGAGAAGGGAAAGCTCAGATGGGCTGGGGTTATCAGGGAGGGCTTCGTGGAGGAGGCGGTCTTGAAAAGGACAGAGGTTGAGAGAAAGATCATTCCAGGTGGGCGGTGGAGTGTAACCAACAATTCAGAGGCCGGAAGGCTCCCACAGGGAGGAGTTGTGTCTGCCCGGGCCAGCGGGAGTGCTGGGCCGTGGGGGTTGATGTGCTCGGAGGGTGAGGCAGTTTGCACACGATCCCCAGTGCAGCCATAGCGGGTCCTTGAGCAGAAGAGAAGCAGAGTGAGCCTCTGGTTCCGGGAGGAGTCAGGTCAGCCATCAGGTGGGGACAGGGTGCCCCACAGCTTCCCCCTCCCCGGGAAGGAGAGCCCCCTGGAGAAGCCCTCCCTTACTCCAGGAGAACCCAGGCCCTGCTGTTTCAGTACTCATCCTCACGGACGCATGTCACCCACAGAGTCATTCCAGCTGCTGGGAGCGGCAGGGCTGGATTTCGTGCTGCCCGGTTCTTAACTCAGCTTCGTGTGAGGATGCCCCCCGCCCATTTCCTCCAGGCCTCTGTGAGTGCTACCAGGCCCTGACCAGAGCTGGGTAGATGTGGGTGGCAGTGACGGCCTGGGCAGGCAGGAAGGCGGGCATGGCAGAGCCCTGCGAGGACAGAGCGGAGCCCTGCTGTGCGCTGGAGGTGGCATGGCGGCATACCAACTGCCTAGGATGCCCATCTCTGCCCTGGTAGCCCTGGCCCTGGCAGGATCACCCAGGAAGGGACTGAGTCCTGCCCTTTATAACAGAGTGTTATGCTGGGGAAACCCAGAGGGAAGTTGGGGAGCCCTCTGCATGTACACACCACCTGCCGGCCTTGACCCAGCTTCCCAGGACATAGGTCCTGCCATAAGACATCTTGGAAGTTGGCCAGTGGCCCT